ACACCCAGGGTTTAATTCTCACCTTTATGGCTATTACTGTTAATGTAAATCATACACAGTATTGTACTATAAACAGAAATCCAGATTCACTATCAGAAAATGAATCAAATTAAACACTGAAGATCATTGAAAGTCAAAAGGTTGTTTTATTTAGCTTTGTTGGCTTTATGCAAGGTACAGGGCAAATCCTGAGGAAACAATCTATTTTAAAAGCCTGCTACAGACACGAAGCAAACAGCACACACTAAATATTGCATTCTTCAGAGATACAAAACATTGTCTTACCTTTCTTTAGACATGGGAATCTGAATAATTTAACCAGTCCAAAGTCATCTCCAGTCACTAGCACTGAGCTGTTGTAATTTCCATCCACAGAGTTGACATCTGTAACGTTTGTGTATTTTGGCCAGATTCCATTCACTTCAGATCCTATCACACAGGTCCATGAGGCCCAGTGAATTCCTTTGATCTCATCTTTGCTCGTTAGATGCTTCCCAGCTGAAAATATGCAAGTGAATAATCTGTTCAGCCATTTGTTTTTCAGTAAACCCCATTTCTTTACACCACATTTATCTGTGTGTCCTTCCTGGGATTAGTCTTTTGACCTTGATAAATTATAAAGATTCACAATTTTAATTCAAATAAGTATAATCTCACATTTGTGGCATTTGATGACATCACACATCTTACAAGTTGTAATGCAGCTTCACATAAACATGCTAAAAACACATAGAAGTGGAAGAATTAGATGTTTAAGTGAGCTCCAGTCAAGAAACCTCACATGCAGATCTACAATCTATATCACATTTTGGTTGGTCTCTCCAAGGCAACACTTTGGTTTATTTTTCATCAGAAGTGGAAGAACATTAGATGTTTATGTGAGCTCCAGTCCAGAAACTCCACATGCAGATCTACAATTTATATCACATTTTGGTTGGTCTCTTCAAGGCAACACTTTGGTTTATTTTTCATAGCATGAGCCACTTGTGAACTCACATGGCATCTTGTAGAACAGTCTCTCTCCTGCACCATCGTTGGTTTGCAAGAATTTGCTGTCGACAGACCAGTCAATGTGAGTTATAAAACTAGAAGACTTGTTGCATTCTCCTATTTTTTTGTACCGTTGAGCAACCGCATAGACATCCACGGGGCCATCGTTGGAGCCCACAGCAAGGTAAGAGCCATCTGGGGAGAACTTCATTTCATGGATCACTTCCTTGCGGTCTTTGATATGAACCACCTCTGTCATGTCTCTGCAAGAGCCAAGAGGGAGAGAGTCAGCTGTAAACCTGTGCATGTGCAACCTGCAAATACTTAAGGCAAACATGAAGACTGATGCAGTGAATAATTCCTACAATAAAAAGAGATTTCACCAAAAAATGGGAACCAATTTTTTGGATAAGTTCCAATTGTTTTCGTTGGTTAGAAACATACTTTTAAAGCAAAGTTAGAAACAACTTTACCTGTCAACAACACTCTTTGTTCTATTCACCTCATTTCAGCTGCAAAATGGTTAGTTCCAGTCTAAACTAGACCAGCCTTACATTGTATTTAACACAGACGTGGTGGTAAGTATTGCTACTAAGAAAAACAGCTAATTCTCTGGATTATTCCTTAGATCCAGATCCTTGATGGCCAAGAAAAAGGAGAACAGACTCATGTTGCTGAGTTTTCCTGGAGCAGGGGCTGCAGGTTTGTTACCCTGTCACAGACCTGTCACAGGAAAGGACCAGAGGGAGAAGCAGTTGCACTAAGGGACTTACACAGGGGTGCTGCCACTCCTCAGGATAATGCTGGGCTTACCACTGTCAGCCTATCACTGTGAATAATGTCAGGTTATCAGGCAAATCAGCAGAGACAAGATTACTGTGAGACAAAGAAGATTAACTTCTTTAGAAAATACTAGTCTTTGAAAGGATTTTAAATTAATATAACAGATCAGTTTTGTTCAAGTCATTAAAGCAGTACATTACAGTGGATTTCACACATCTTCCATCCTTTACAGGCTCTTCCCTCCTATCAGCTACAGATTCAAAGTATTTTAAATAGATGCTTACCAAACACATGGAGTAATGTTAAGGATGCAGTAAACTCTTCCAAGTACCAATTAAAACAGCTTATCTGTTTTGGAATCACACTATTTTGTGTGGTTGTTTCAATCCACAGCCAATTTTATATTTTACCTGCTTTAGTGTGTCTTCTATAACAGTATTCCAGACAGAAACTGCCTACTGCATATGACGCATTAATGCAAAAAAAGGTTTATCATCTAATATGAAAGTAGAAGCTACACATAACTAAAAAATGTCTTTCAATCACCAATTATTTTGCCTGGCATCCATTCTTGTGTATGACAGGAAATGAACAATATGGTCAAGGAGATCTCTCTCAAAAACTATGTCATCTCTGTCATGCACATTGCTTTTCACAAGAGATCTGTATAATTTCAGAAGAAGAAAAAAAGCCAAAAACTTGAAAATCTTCTCTTCTCTCAATATCATTACAAAGAGCCAATACCTTGAATTAAAAAGAGCACAAGTTTTCTCCTCATTGCCAAACCACCACCTTTTAAGACAGCAAGTGATGTTACAGGCACGTACACTCAACTTCCACTCTTTCATTCTGATAAAACACCCAGTGAATTTTTTTTCTTTTCATAGGAATAAAAGCCTTTATAAAATGACCTGAAGTTCCTCAGGCAGAACACCTCCTCCCTCGGGGAACTCAGGGCAGTTTCCCCCCTTACCTCACTCTCAGGACGATGAAGGAGCCATCCTTCATGCCCAGGGCCAGCTGAGCCCCGTCGGGGCTGAAGGCCACGCTCCGCACGGCCTCCTCCATGTTGCAGCGAGCTATCAGGGCGTGGTCAGCCAGACTCCACAGCCTGCAGCAGGACACAGGGAACCAGCAGCACGTTGTTCCACACTGCACAGCATTTTGGCACAACATTGTGACAACAAGTCTAACTCAGTTGGTGAAGGCCCATTTCATGCACACTGTATATTAGACTTTCTAACGTACCGAGTCCCTTTCCATGGAACCAACTGACTTGAGCTCAGAGACTTACAGAAAGGTAGTTTTTCAAAACTCAGAACTGTTTATCCATCTAGGGGAGGAAGAGGGTGTACAATGACTGCCTGGATCAATAAGTGGACAGGAATTTTGAGAGTGGCACCGAATGTCTTGGCAAACAATATCAAACTAAGCTTTCAGACACCTTCAAGTGAAGCTCCAGGTTCAAATTTCTTTCAAAAATAAAGGTCTCTACAGTTCCCAGTTCTAGCAGGGATGGCAGCTCAGACCTGAACGTATCTATGACAGCAGAAGAGAAAGCAGGGTGAAGCCAGATTACATAATCATTTGGGGTTATCTCCGGCCTTCACTAATCTGATACAAGTCCCCTAGATAAATACATTTTTTTAAAAAGCAGTTTCTGTAGACAGAAAGGGTCAATGCAGATCAGACTGAAATTTTCACTGCAAGTGAAAGCAATACTCAGGGAGCATAAACATTCCAACCAGGGGGAAAATTTTCTTGTCATAACCCTGAATGAACTAGCAGAGGAAGCTGCACGCTGATTCACTCATTTACATCCTTTCACATAAAAAGAGACTACCAAGAAATTGTACCATAAGATGGAAAAAAAAGCAAATATTGTGCCTATGTTTTTAAGGAGGACAGGAGGGAGTTCCGAGATCACTACAAGCTGGTTAATCAGATCTCAGTAGTATGCAAGATTTAGAAAATAACTCAGGAAAATAATAATTAAAAGTATGGAAGAAAATGCATAGGAGACCTCTTGGGGTAGAAAAAATAAGTCAGCACTACCCAGCTACCTTCACTTTGAGGACAGTGTTGTGAATCTAATGCATTTGTAAAAGATTTCTGAAAAACTGAGTGAAATATCTGAATAGTAGCATATGGGATTATTGGTTAAACTCAAGAAAAGGATCATTTGCACAAGAACTGCAATCTGCTACCAGATGAAGTTTTGGAGCAGGCTTTACACAACGAGGCCAGGTAGAAGACACTGCTGAGATTTCTAGGCACAAGCTTTGGAAGAGGAATATTTATTATTTTCAGTGAAGGCACTGGCACAAAAAGATGAGCATGCTAATGGACAGTGAGCTGGGAGGCAGCACCAGCCAGAGGGATGTATCCTGCTGGAAGGAACAGAGGTTTCTTGATGATGAAGCAAACAGACATGGAACGGAATGAAAGTTAACCCAAGCCCACGCTTTCAGAGCCCTTACTGTGCTGTAGGCTTGAAACACAGGTGGAGCCTGCAGAAAGGAGCAAGGTCTCACACTGGTTCTCAATTACAGAATGACTGTGATCCAGGAGCGAGTTGCAGACAGGAAAAAAGGCCATTTGATCCTAAAACACATGCTGGTGCTACCCCAGCAAGTACACAAAAGCATGCCACAGCCATGTGAAAACATGGCTGGTACCATTTTCCAGTGGAAAAAAATGGATGTGGGAGCCTAAGAATTGTTTTCAAAGACAGAAATTGGATCAGTTGCATGAGCGTCAGCAGCCTTGCCAGGGAGAAGCCAAGAGCCCAAGGAATGAACTGGAAAGGATTCGGAAAGATAATTTTCCATTAAGTTTTCTTTAAAAAAAGAACCAGCCAAAGCTTTTCAAATCAATGGGAGAGTAATTCCCAATATAATCTTTTTAATTTTGTAACAAGGAAAAAAATACTATCTTGCACACAATCACTTGTATACACAACTGACAAAATAAAAGCCTGTCTTTGCTTATGAAAATAGAAGTATTTTTTCCAGAAAAATACTTCTGCACATTGTTTTTGGAAAAGGTAGATAAATTATTTCCACATAAAAAGTGTATATATTTTCAAATAAGACAAAGGCCTGTTTCCACCAGTCTTTGGCAGCTTTCCTATGGACCTGTTTAAATGACTGAGTTAAAAAATCCCAAAAAGGCTCACAAAACATGATTTTATTAGTCAATATTCCAGTCTTTTCTGTCCTATACCTGACAGGTGAGTTTATTTCCAGGGCACACACTGAACACAATCTCCCAGGAGGCTTATTAGCAACTGCTTCATCTGCAGGAATAGCTGTAGCTGATGACAGAAGCTTTGCTGCTGTTTTGTTGCATTCCATTGGCAGGAAAATGTTCCATGTGAAATGTCAGGGATATAAATATTTAAATGCATTCATATAAAAAACAGGTTTCTACTCAATCTTCTCATAAATGCAGGCACACAGACAGATCAGCTCAAGAAGATGGGCAGTGGAGTGGAGGTGTTCTGCCAGACCTGCAGCTAGATGTTCTACCTACAAACTGACACGTGTGAGGTTTGGTGACCAAACGCAGTTACTAATTCTGTAGGCCTCAGGGCATCCCAACACCAACACTGCTTTCCTCCTGGTCTGCAGTGAATAATTCTGTAGGCCTCTGAGCATCCCAACACCAACACTGCTTTCCTCCTGGTCCTGCTGCAAGGCACAGGAAGCAGGCAGCTTTCCTACCTGATATGCTTTAGTTTAACATGTAGGAAACCTAGATCTGGGAGAGTCTTTTCTCAGCTGTGCCAGGGAAAACCTGCAGAAATTCCCCTTAACTGTACAGAGGTCCCTTCCTTCAGGCATCTCACTTGGACATGAGAATATAACCTGGCTCACTACATCATTTATAAGGCAATTTAGATTTATACTATGTAGCCACTCTTTTCAAAACAATGAGATAACCAAATACTAAGAAACATTACACAGTGAATAGCAATACAGAAACATCCCTGTCAATCCAGTTTCATTAATGGAAAACAAAACTGTAAGAAACCTCTTTTGTGTGCTCCATCTGAATGAAAAGACTTCTATTTCACTGGAATTCCTCACATGAAGCATTAACACATAAAAAAATAGCACTGTCTGAACTGGAATCCAAATGCCACACCCTCTGGTGCCTGAAGAGCTGAATGAGGTAGTGCAGTAAGATACCCACAAGGTTAACAAACACCTTTTATAGAATGGCAACACTCAAAGGCATCAGAAATGCAGTAACAACTCTAAGAAAGATAATAATCACAAGAACACCACCCATTAAGGCTTTATGTGCCCAGAGAGCATGCTTCCACAGTGTTTCATGGAGGGGCACAGGTTTGTGGAGACAGCAGCACACCACCCAGCCCCAAGCCAGCACTTAATACTGGGCTAACGAGGAGTCCAAGACAATAAATCCAAAGTCTTAGCCTGGCTCATTAGCCCGAGGGCAGTACAATGCTAATCCCAGCTTTACAGCTCTTGTTTCAGAACTGGCTTGCAGCCCACCAGCAGGCAGCAGTGTGAATTTGTGCCTGGCTGCAAAACTGTGCAGACAAACCCAGGCAGAAGAGACTATTGATGGGCTGTGTAAAGAGAAAAGAGCAACAGTCGTGTGTAGGGGATGGGCAGATAGCAGGACTGTAGTGAACAACAGGCAGGTCTCTTAGTTTCACACTTTGGATTCTAATTATGGTTAGAAAGAGATGAGGGATGGCAGGAAAAGAAAACCAGTACAAGTAAAAAGACAGAAAGGAAAAGGAAAAAGAAATTACAACTGACTAGAAAGCTTCAAGTCAGAGGTGAACCAAGGAATATAAGTTAGAAGCTGTATATACAGTAGGAGATTTGACTTTTCCCCATTGAAATATGGCCAAATTGTAGAATCCACATGTATGTTTCTGACATCAGTTGACTTGAGTCCATAAAAAAAAAGAGAAACTGTTTGTTAACTGCCTAGAGTAACCTATTTGAAAATATGCAATTAAAATCTCTACATAAGATGAAAAGCACTCATCATCCCTCTGGCATAAGGTTGGAGAAAAACCTGATGGAGCAGTTAGAAATTAGGATGGTAGGGTGAGGATAAACTAGTAAGGATGACACTGGGGGAATGAGAGCTTGGGAACTCCACTGTACATGCTGTGCTGCATGGGGCAGGGCTTCAGGGCAAGGGCAGACCCACAATGCAAGGAGAGACTCAGGAAAGTGCCATAATAAAGCCACAGCTCCCAGAAATGTCCCCAGTCCCCATGGGGAGCTTTGGCAGTCTCTCTAATCACAGGTAAGTAATTAGGCACGATGGGCAGTGTCCATGCCCAGCTGAGATAACACACAACAGCCTGTAGGTATGAGAGTACACCCACTGCAGTCAGAATCTGAGCTTAACCTCCAAACTTTACTGCAGACCAGATTTGCTACATGTCAAGGCTGAGACAGATACCTGCTGTGTAAAACACTGGTCAAAGGTGTTAAAGTTTTAGGTTTGTTGTACCTTATCAACACAAGTATGAGGTGACCATTCTCCATTTACATACCTACACCTGCTGCTCAGAACAGTAACAAATATTTAAAGCAGAGTACCTAAATCCAGCATGCCTTCAACACAAATTCTGATTATTTTTACATGATGTGTGGAGCCCAAATGCAAGAGCTGAAGGGAAAAAGCAAAGCTGCTAAGAAAAAATATGGGGAAAAAAAAAAGGTTGTCTTAATGGAATATTAACATAAGGCCAGAAAATCAATAAATTACAGCTGAATGTGCACAGGAGTGGCTAATGAATCAATCAGACCCAGCCTTACCGTACAGAGCGATCGTCACTGCCCGTGACTGCCAGAGGCTTCTTTGGATGGACTGCCAGGGCCCAGAGCTCCCCTTCACAATGACCCTGCATGATCAGCATGGGCTTATCCCTCTCCCTTACTAGCACCTCGAATATCTCACTGTCCTGTGTCCCTGCTAAAAGTCTGTCTGCTTTCCAACAGACACTTCGGATGGACAAACCTGGCAGGGGACAGAACAGTATCAGATTAATGGCAGTGACAAGACAAGTGAGAGTACAGTGAAAATCACCATGACTCCAGGAGTTCAATTATAACCACTCTTGTGTTTTGACACTGAAGTCTTACAATACATCACAGTGGATTAGAATCTCAAACCAGTTCTGTTACATTACCTCCATTTGACAGAAAAAGAGAAGGTTCAATCCTGGGAAAATGCTGAGTGTCTAACACTGCTGCTGCCAGTTTCTCATGGGATCAAGCTCTTGTGCTTTGTGTACATCTGGGGAATTTGCCTTGAAAAACAATTCCATTTCCCAGGATATAAAAATCTAAATTTTACATTAGGCAATGTTCCTGTGACTGAAGCTGGCTTTATTCCTTTTTTCATTACTTTACTTTTTTTTCCCCACATTTAAATAAAATGTTGAATAAATTTTTAATGTTGAATTTAAATTGTTTGTGTCCATGTTATCACACTTCTTCCATTTAGTCCCAACTATTATTAAAAATAATAAAAAAAACCACCACCTTGAACCCCAAACCAACAGAATCTTGCTTTGCTTAACTTTTACAGAGCTTGATCCTAACTTTGCAGCTCAGATTTTGCTAACCATAAGCTTAAAACACCCTCCTAGCAGGCCAAGCAATTTGGCAGCGTTCTCTGGTTGACTGCCTGCAGCGTTTGTATCTTCTCTTCCAGTATATGAAAATTATAGTTCAGATAATGGGTCTAGGTGCTGTGATATGTGAACAAAAAAAACCAAATCCATTTGTCATGTAGTCAAGGTCAACCACATCATCATTTTAACATCTTTTGGAACCAAATAACACAATGCAATTAACTACTGGTCACACAAATGAAATATATTGTAGGTGTTTTCTGTCAACCCCCGAGAAGGGCAAATTAATCTTCATTTATTGCCTTGTCCATTTCCAGTGCCTTTTAATTTTGTTAATGACTTAAACTATACTGAAGTTATGACTTATGTCATCTTCTTGATACACAAAGGCCACACAAGGAATGAAGTTCAAATGTTGAGTGGAAAATGGGTACTGTTACATTTTAGAATACCAAGTATACTTTTGATGTGGGACAGGTAATGTTTTCTGTGACATACTGCATATCAAGAAATATTATCTATTATAAATTTCTTTTACTAATATACATGTATATTTAAATATAAAAGCCAAGCCTTTGATCAGATAGTTACTGGACATGCTTCTTATTCAAAAAGCCTTTATTACTCTTCAGCACAGGATGACTGATGAATGACATGTGCTGAGGAGTGGGAGGAGAATTCTTCCTGGCACCCTAGGAAGATTTAAGCTTGAAAACTGACATGTTTGCAAACTGACTGGAAAGAAGAGACAGAAGGTCACAGGAAAGCAGTTAATGCTGCCACTGTTGCCCAGAGTTACAGATGTGCTTAGCCTAATCAGAACCAGTGACATAACTGAAGATAAACACAACTTCTGCAGTCTGTTATCAGCAAGCACGAAATCAAAGCGATCATCAGTGGATCATGTATGGGACAGAAACAGCAGAAAAGGACAGAGGCATAACAGGGACATCTCAGGCAAGAGTTTATCACGTGGAGAGAGCACAGACAGAGAAAAAAACCTGAGACAGGAAAAGACACAAAGATTTTTAAATGGTGGTGGGAAGGTGAAGGTGCACGCTGGGATTTTATGACCTGCAGTCATCTTCAGGGTTCAAGTCTCTAGAGTTGCAGTCAGACCAGCAGTCCCAGGGCTTTTTTCACAGACAGACTGTGATGTCTTTTTACTTAGTTGGGATAATTAAGATCATAGCCACACCATCTGAGTAAGCTCTGGTAAAATTTTGCAGACTTGCTTAAGGTAGTTGCTTGCCATTAAAGCTGGCAGTGTTTTTGTTTTGACAAACACACACAAACCTGAAGGATTTAAGTGCTCTGAAGACAAGATTTGGACAGTGTTCTAGTTTTAGCTCTTAGAAAATCAATTTTGTAAAGTTCATTACCATTTACAGGCAAGTGTAAATGGCAACCCAGTTCACCTTCTGCAGATGAATTTTTGTACTACTTTTGCCACTTAAGAAGACAGCAAAAACCTCTCTGGACTGTCCCTCAGCCATACAGTTGCCACAACAGTGCCTGGTTCCTCACAGCTGCTTTTATCTGTGTATTGTGTCCTGTAGCATTTAGGAGATGGTAGAAATAATGACGTCAAGTCAGAATCACTCCATAGCATAGTCATAAAGTATTGCTTTTGTTTCATAGAATTCACTGTTAAACATTATGATTTTGGCCACAAAAATTACATAAAGTCCAGAGTGAAGGGACTGCTGGTTGGGTGTCTTTGACAACTCACTCAGAGGGCTAAATTCTGTGAATTTACACTTCAGTGAGGTGAACTGGTGGAGCTGCACTCACCAAAGGCTGTTGGCAGTTTGCTCGTTGGACGAGCCTAGATACTGCATTGCACAAGTATTAGAATCACCAGCTCATCTCTTTTGATTAAGATGATAAATAAACAGAACGAGCTTGTGACTAGACCACAGGACAAACTATCCACAATTGTGAGAAGATTTTATCCTTCTTAGTGGCCCCTTGAATATTCTGAATTTTAATATGAAAACTAGGTCTAAAAACATAAGCTAAACAGCAGGGGAAATTAACACTAACCATTACAAAGTTGGCTGCCAGAAGTGTATAAAGCCTACCTCAAATCCAAATGGATATGTAGAACTCCCAGAAGACTCAGATCTTGATGAAGTGTGCGTTATGATGGATGGAGATTAGAAGTGCTCTGAGAGCCTAATCATAAACTGAAGTGATGACTAAGCTCATAGGAAGCATGATTAGATTGAACAAATACCATGGTCAAGAATTTAATAGCATTCTCTCTATTGAAGATGCCAGGTGTGACCCTTCTAAGGGGTGCACGAGATGCTCAGCACCTCTGAATACAGAGTTTCAGAAATGTCAATTACTTAAAGGAATTGCAGTTAGTTAATTGAGTTAAAGACTGGCTCATTTAGTTCTATCTTTTTGTGTTTAATTAGGTTTTACCTATCTTCTTGTATTTGCATGGTGGGAAGCAGCAGCTAGAAGCATCACTGTTTATACTATGAAACACTGATAACTGCTCAGGCTACATCACTGTCAGAGAAAAAAGGGAATAGGGACCTCAAAAGTAAACACAATCATTAAGTAAAAAATAGCAGTATGCAGAGATATTTATGCTTCAAATTGTGTCATAATCCATTATCTAGATGTGTGAAAAAACATTAAAGTAATAGCTCATTACCTTTGTATCCTTGTTCAGTCTCCCTGAGATCAATCTTAGTAATCGGTTTGAAATCAGTGTCCCACAACCGAATGCAACCATCTCTCCCTCCAGTGGCAAAACCTTCCTCACAAGCATACATACTAAAAATTCCAGCCTGTTAACCAACAGTATAACAAGTTTTCAGTTCTTTACAATAGATTTAAATACACAAAGCAAATGATTTTGCAGAGACTCTCGTTAAAGGCTAGAAACTGCTAGGCAGTAGAATGTTGTTCATCCAGAAAGCAAACCAGCAAACAGAGGAGGACACTCTTATTTCAAGTGCTCCCACATCAGTCATTTACACAGAAGGTTTTGTACCAATAGCAGTGATATGGCTTATCTGCAGACCTATAAATTTGGTTTAGTTACTATTATTACAAAGGCTATTAAATAAACAATGGAACACTTAAAATAAAGTTGCCCAGAGTAAACAAAACCAAGCAAACAAGCAATACAAATATTCTTACAGGCGTGGAGATGATTGAGACATTCTTTCATGGATTCAGCTCAGACATCCTTTGGAATCTGACAGGAACTGAAAGAGTG